TTACTAGAGAGAGTGCTACATTACCTGAGAGGTACAATAGAATATGGAATTCATTATACTGGTTATCCATCTGTATTGGAAGGATATAGTGATTCCAACTGGATTTCTGATGCAGATGCAATTAAAGCCACAAGTGGCTATGTGTTTACACTAGCGGGTGCTGCAGTTACATGGAGGTCATGTAAATAGACCATTTTGACGCGGTCGACCATGGAAGCTGAGCTTGTAGCACTTGACCCGGCTACTGTTGAGGCCGAGTGGCTAAGAGAGCTACTCATGGACTTGCTATTGGTAGAGAAACCAGTTTCGGCAATCCTTATGTATTGTGACAACCAAATGGTATTGACCAAAGTTATGAGTACTAAGGATAATTCGAAGTCCCCGAGACATGTGAAGTGGAGGCTTAAATTTGTTAGAAAGCTGAAAAACTCCGGAGTAATTGCTATGAATTATATTCGCAGTGAGAAAAAATCTAGCAGATCCCTTTACAAAAGGGCTTGCACGAACAGCGATTTCTGTTGCAAACATGGACATGGGGATGAGACCCATTGAGTTGCAAAGTAATGGCAACTCATTTCCTTTGATAGGAGAACCCTGATTTGGAAAATGAGAAAAACAAGTTACTGTTGTAATAGGGAGTACAGACTATTTAAAATTACCCATGTTCCATAAAATGTACTCTCTTCTGTATGGAAGGCTGGCTATTATGCCTTAATGTATTCTAGTGTCCACCGAGAGAAAAGGTATTGTCCTACAGGATACCTAAAATGAATACACCTATGTGAGCTAAATTGTTAGGTCGCAGTTCATGAGAGTGGGGTACTCTTTAGAAAGCTCATGAGAAGATCGAGGAGCAAGACCTTTAAAAGCTCTGTTTGGACTTGGCGCTCTTGTATCCTAGTATTAGCTGGATCTTCAAGAGAAATCTGACAGCAAAAAGCTATGAATTTAAGGCTTAGTCCATTCACAAGCTGCTGGAAGATGGACCTTGTTGATCTAGGTGTAAGTTCAACCCGTACGGGACTTATACTAAAAATCTGGTATATATAAAGAATGTTTAGTACAGCAGCGTTGAAATTGGTGGGGGATTGTTGGATTTAGGCCCATGTTTGGCCCAATCATTCACAACCTTTAGTCCCATATTGCTAATTCAATGAGAGGTTGTCTTACTTAAATATGTGAGTCTCTCTCTATGTAAAATAGGTGCAAATGAGAGAGAAGGAGACTGTTGCTACACGCACGCGCAGCTCGTGCGCATTTTTCGCGTGAAAAATCGCGTGACTTGTGACGAGCGCGACGCGTACGTGTACAGTAGGCTATTATTTGTGCAGTTTCTATTTTTTATGCTGAGCATAATGACGCTTCAATGTGATTGAAACTGTCGTTTTAAACCGCAATAAGGTGCGTCAGTTTCTGCTATTAGATTGCAGCATTTTCTGTCATTCAAATGGACAGTTTCTACTGCTTGATGAGGGAAATTGATGTACTATGAAGGCCTATAAAACCAGGAGACGTCCTAGTTGAAGGGTACGCAATCACACGCTCACCTCCCCACTCGTTGTGCTGAGCTTCTCGCTGCTGCGCCTTGTCGACCTTTGAGTTCAGCATGCACCGGACTTAAAGATAGCGGGATCTCCGAAACCACTGCCGCGAGACTCCTGCACGGACGGCAATCAGGTTTTTGGGCAGCGTCTACATGCGGCCGCTTGGTGATCTGCAACATCTACTTCAACATGTTCGACTACGTTCTGCACGGGATCATTGAGTAATTTCTTGCGCAATCCTGTTCTAGTCAGTGTCTGTTTACCGTTTTATATACCTGCATCATTTTTTATCTATGAGTTTTTTCTCCAAATAAAATTTGGAATGTATTTTAGGCACATATTTCCAACAGATAGTTGTCACATAAGTTGTTTTTGCATTATAAAATTGTAGGATGTTAGCATTTGCGGTGCCTAGACTTATTATACATTGTTTTTGGAACTTTAATTTTATCAATTCATGCTCTCAGTATAATTCTATATTTAAAAAATATAGGTTTAAAGAAAAAACTTCTCATATGCATTCATCTAAGGCTAACTTTGTGTCATATAAAACCGTAATCTGCAAAGCTGATCCTGTAACACATCGTTGGCTGAATGGTTAGGCCTCGACAGCGATTCTAAACAAAGGGTTTACAGTGTTCATCCTCAGCTGTAAAATTATGTCGGTATTGATATATATGTAATCTGAGTGAGCACCAAACAGAATGGACTATAGCTTTGGTAAATTAGTCACTATTTGATGTTGTTAAAAAAATTCACCATATTACTCTGCCACTCTGGTCCTATATTTTCCAAATCACTAGGTAGCCAGCCACAACAGGGAATTGGCCACCACAACAGTCTCTAGCCCCTACTAGGTAGCTGAAAAGCTGAGTTGTATTTTCCAATTACGACAACAGAATGCAAGTCTCGAGAAATGCAAGGAATCCTAGACCTGAAGTTGCATGCCATGCCATGGTGCACATTATTGATCAAGGCATTTCACGAAAAAATTAAATAGTAAAACTGATCCAAGCTGACTAGCTGAGGGTGTGCATCTTCTCCGTGAATTCGGAGCAATCAGAGCTTGTGGCCCAGGTCTGGTTGCTCCACGAGCTGGGCCCTGTTTGGTTTGCGCATACTAAACTTTAGTCACATAATTTTAGTCTTTTTTAGTCACTTTGGAGCCAAACACTATAACTAAAATAGACTAAAAGGCCTTTAGTCATCTAGTCACCAAATTATGACTAGAAGGGACTAAAAGACCAAAAGTACAGGGCTGCCCCTCATCAATGCACTCCCGTCCCCCTGCCCGCTGCCCCCCATCAAAAAGAAGATAAAATGATATTTTTGGTCTTTGTATAGTAGCTTTAATGTCATTTGGTCCTCTTAAGTCTAAAGTTTAGTTTCTGGTTTAGATGACTAAAGTTTAGGAGGTCTAAACCAAACAGGGCCCTATTGTTGCAGTCCTGCACAGACATGCAGGACTACCCTGTCTCTATTGATAGACAAGTGACTGTTTTGGGTGAAGCATTTGCATCTGTCATGGGCATATAGGTTGAGGCACGTTCCATACCTCCGACACTGCCTATATGATCCACAGCAAATGCAATGAGATTCCACCTATCTGTAGTCTTGGATGCATTGGGCCACTGATGGGTGATGAACTTTTGTCGCCATCCAATTGGATGGCAAAGATTTACCACGGCTGTACCATCATTCTTGACACGAAAATGTTATACAAGCGCCTAGCGATAATCAAACCGGGTTTACTCTAAGCAGACAAATGGCATTACCATTGGTACTAATGACACTTTTGGCTATAAATAGCCACCGTCAGTGAGATGAGGATGCACACAAGTCAGTCAGTACTCAGTACTCAGTAGTCACCTCCCATCTTCTCTAGAGATGAAGTTTGGGAGCTCTTCCCTTTTCTCATGCCCATCAGCATACCCTAGTCATCGACCACCGATTACAAGGATGAAAACGGTGGTCACCTATTATTCCTGAACTCTTGTATGGCACTATCCCAAATGAGCTTTTGATTGAGCCTATAATGTTTTCCTGCCATACAAACTGGGTGTTTCTTTATCTTCTTAACGGAGGATGGGGAAACCCTTATGTTAGTGACTGTCAAGCTCTTGGCCTTGCAAGGGCAAGGTTCTGGCTTAGTACACTGCAGGCAGGGCTGCTGATCCATGGTGATAGGCTCATCTCCTGTATTGACTATCCCTTCTGAGCTTGTAAATTTTATTTTAGCATTTGAACTTAAACTCATTCTGTCTCCCTCTCCCTCCCTCTCTCTCTCTCTCTCTCTCTCTCTCTCCTTCGTGCAGTTGGGAGTGATCCGATTTCGTGAGGCCAGTAATTCTGGCGGTGGTGTTAATTTTGTGCCTTTTGTGCACAGCCATTCTATAATATACTAGTAGATTTTGGCATTCAAATTGTGTCATTCTTTCAACTCTGTCTTTTTTCCTTTTGACGATATAATGATTTCAGTCCATACAAAAGACAAATTGAACGTGAATTTAAACAGCCCATACTCTGAACGTGCGGATGATGTTAATGAAATGCTGAACATATAATGCGTATACCCATCTCTGTTCCTTCTTTATTTTTGTACCATTACAATTGTGTCGATCTCTAAAGAACCATGCATAGTTACGTTATGTGTTCAATTCATAGTTTCATACAATGAATTAAACCACGTTCAACTTCGGGGGATACTGTAATAAAAAATTAAATAAAATAGAAAAAAAACATGCAATGTAGAGAAGGTTTTGTATTGTGAGATGTTTGCCTTTTTTTGACATGAAGGTCTGAGTTGTGGGAATAACAGATGAGATAACTTCATTCGGAATAACTGCAGTCTGCAGATGGGCAGCTGCTACAAACAGATACTTTCTTAATTTGAACAACCATATGATGAGTGAAGAGTACCTTATTACCTTCTTGGATTTATTTACTAATGGTTAACCTTTCTCCGCAAAAGGTTACAATTCTGGAAATAATTTTGGATGTGAGCAACCCGCAACCATAATCACCGAAGAATAATTTTGTTCTTGATTTGTGCCATTTGGTTACCAGGAAAAAAAATCCAGTTTAAACTAGTCATTAAGCCTCAGCCTTTGTAAATAACCCTCGGTTTTGAAAACCAGAGTAGACAAATAAATGGAAAAAAATCAATAGCCAGAAATCTGAAATGATAACAGCATAGCTACTAACAAATGGGTATTGATTAATTTCCAATTGTCATGTCCAAACAAATAGTGTCTCCCATTCTCCCCTCTTTACAGATCGAGATTAACAGAAAGGGGAGAAAAGGCAAAGCAAAAATAATGAATGGATGGATCAATCGACATGTTCAGACCCACATTAAGATACTTACACATATATATATGAACAGAATCCAACCGAATGCAGGCAATGGCAGCCAGCAGCAGGCTCCTGGCCCCTTCCTCCGATCCTCCTTGAATTTTACTGCAGGTAGTAGGCGAAGAAGGAGAGCACGGAGGCGCCCAGCACGGCGCTGACGGCCGGGAAGGCGGCCGAGGAGGCGCTGGTGGGGGCGGGCGCCGGGGCCTCGGCGGCGAGGGCCACGCTGGCCGAGGCGGCGACGACAAGGACGGCGCAGGCGACCTTCTTCATCTCCATCGCGACTTGAGGTGCGTTGCCGAACGGTACGTCGGAGATGAGGAAGATCAAAGGGCAGGCTTATTAGCAAGATTGATCAAAGGATGATCGCACTTGCTATTATTTGTTGCGCCGCGCCCTTGCCTGTAGCTAGCTGTTGCTTGCCTGGGGAATGAGGGGAGGGGGAAGGGTGGGTTCTTATAGCTGGATTAGCCGGCTAATCTTGGTGTGGGGATGGATGCGGGGGGGGGGGGGTGGCGACGACGAGAGGTAGGTGATGGTCGCCAATGCAATCGCCATGTGGAGGAGCCCGCGCGCGCGACGTGTGTGGGCTGGGCATGTGCTGGAAATGGAGATGAGTGGGCGGGAAGGAAGTTTGTTGAGGACGAGAGCCGATGGAAGAACGAGTCTTTTAATTTCTCTCCTGTCGTTAATTAGCCGGGTTTGAATATGTATACGTATCTTCTGGCCGTCTGTGCTTAATTTATTGGGAAACTGAAAGCTAACCCATGTCGGTTGATCTCTCGCTGGAAGCCACCTACTGTCAGTCACAAGTGGTATCAACCAACCGCGCCTTGTTTAAAACTGCAATGATTTCCGCAAAACACAAAAAATTTAAAACTTGACCTTGACCACTGCATTTTTTTAGTTCTATCTAATAATGCAAGAAATATGTGCTCCTTTGAATCAAAAGAATCTAGAAGCATGATTTTTTAGAAAGAATGTTTTAATGTTACTTAGTTGCTAATGATCAGTAGAAAATCTCAAACGTCTGTGTTCCTGGACTAGAGTGCATTGTCTTAATTTGCTTTAAACATGGCGGACATGTTAGGTGATTCAAAGAATTGTTTGGATTAACACTTAGACTAGTCTCAATGGGAGTTTCATCAAAGTTCCATTTGCATTTAATAAGCTGCCACATAAATGATTTTGATGATGTGGCAACATTTTTAATAAGAGTGAAAAAAGTGAGTTTCGTTAGGATAAAACTCTCTTGACACGATTATCAAATCTCTAAGAGTCATGAAATTAATTGTCGATGAAACCGTAGAATTAAACTTTCCATTGAGAGTGGGTGTTTCATCCATGTTTTATTTCATTCTACGTTCTTGGTAATAGTGGTAATGCTAAGAGGCCAAAAGTTTAAAAAAATGTCTCAAAATGTGTCATGATTTGAATCAGTGACCAGGATTCAAATCTGTTATTCCAATTACTACATTCGCTTATTTTTTCTCCCATTAAAATAAGTACTTTTATAATTCTAACTTTTTTTTAAACGTATGAAGCCTTCCAAGGCACGGTGGCAAAAATGACCTTGACAACTTGTGATATTTTTCCCGGCCTGCAAAACTCAATAACATAACCAGTTCAACGTCCCAGCTTAATCAATAATACCGGTGTCCAATAATGGACGTTTGGCATCTCATTTTTTCTTTTATGCGAAGTCAATTCTCTGAGATTGTAGAGTATCTCCACCCATTTCACAATAATCTATTCCCAATATATATATCTCCCCCAATACCCGCACGGAAGGTGGGTCTCATAGGAGTGTAAGAGAAAAGATAACCGGAAATGGTACTTGGTGTGATTCCCATGGTATTGGGGGAGATACGACCCCCTCTTTATTTGATGGGAGATGACGAAAATATTGGTGGAAAAAAAGAGGTATCGGAGAACTGGTAAAAAAGTATAGTTGTTCTTAGTATGACAGTTTTATAGTGACAGGGGTTGATGTTAGGGAGCTGCTCAAGATGCTCTTTATGTTTACATTTTGGTTTTCACAGCATAGTGATGTCAACTAAGGTTCACACTATTGGTTTTGAAAAGGAAAAAACCAAACTGAAATCAAATTCAATTGAAAAGATAGATAAACCAACATTGAGGATTGACCACTGATGAAGTTCAATTGGACATTTACCACGGTAACAACCGGACCATCAAAGGGAATTAAGTAGCTAACTAATCGTACGGGAAGGGTGCAAATATTTTCTTTTAGGTAAAAATGGTGTCCTGATCAGAGAGATACTAGCTCAACCACGGTAGCCAATTTGCCATCACGATCCAAACTGCCTGCACGTGGTTGGTTCAGTACTCATGCAGCCTGAAGCAGGCTGTCGGATTATTTGTTACAGATTGCAATCTCCTCCAGCTTTATATTCTGCGCGCGGGTCCATTGACGCATGTGCAGGTGGTATCCATGAAAACACATTCGTACTTCTGTTGCATTGTTAAACACTTGAGTTAACCACCGATTAGTATCATTATTACTAATCATGCTGACAGCTAGCTACTAGTGATGAGAGCAACACATCCATAGCTAGAGAGAGATTCCTAATTTGTCCATGGAAGGACGACAACAAACACAACCATCAGGACACTCTCTGTACTCCTTCTAGAATGAGAACTATTACAATGAGAACACATTTACAGGAAAATTAAGGAGAAAACAAAGCAAAAGCGTCTGCAGCTCAGCTTGTACAGCTCAGGGTGGTTGAGTGGCCAACCCAATCAGATTTTCAGCCTGGATGGATGAATCTGGCCGAGCAGGGTGGTTCGCATTGTGGCTGAACAGATTCGGATGCCGATGCTTGTGTCCCTAATCATGCGCCTAACTGATAGTGTTGTACTGTATTGTAGTTAGGGTCAACATTGATCCATTATTTGCTAATAGTTAGCCGATGAAAACATGATTGCAATTGTTACAAATCAAGCAAGTGATCCTTTGCCTCCGTTTACAAAGATGGGTTACTCGGGCTCCTGCACATTGCATAATTCGTGAGTTGAATCATAAGGATAGAACGCTCTTGATTTCTTGTGATATTTGATCCTTGGGAGTATGGAAGAATTAAGGATAGATAAGTCAAGTCGCGTAGATCTAAATGAGTAAATAACCATCGGGTATCAGTTAAGCTTTGATCCGAGCGTCCGACACTTTAGTGGATATCAGACGGACATGGGGCGTGAGGCCATGTCAATTTTAATTCTCGTCTAACACAACTTTTGTTTAATATCATGTCAATTCATCACATGTCCATCTCTCGCTCAGCCGCCCGCCCCGCTGCTCCTAACTCTACTTTGCGCGCTCGCGCTGCCGCTCCTGCCGCTGCTCTGCGCGCTTGCCCCACTGCTCCTGCCGCTCGCCGCCGACGTAAAGCAGACGCGCCCACCGTGGCACTGCCACACCATCCCACGGCTATGGCTTCCACCATCACCGCAGCTGCTTCTCTCTGTCTCGCCTTCCCTCTCCTCTCCGCGCCGTCCTCTACTACCCTTTGCTTCCCTCTCCGCTGCTGCTGCGCCTCCCGCCCCCTCGCTGTCGTTGCCTTCAAGAAGCTCTCAGAGGCGTCCCTCGTGCCCATCCCTCAGTAGTCCACGTAGCCCCTGGTCGACGAGGATGCCCTACCCCCAAAGCTCAGAGTCTATGGCGTCTACGACCCCGCCGGGGAGCTACAGTTCGTTGGGATTTCGCGCAACGTCAGGGCCAATGTTAGGGCCGCACCGGGATATGATGCATGTTGCAAGTGTACATTTTAAATGTTTCAGATGTTTTAGAGGTACGTTTCAAGTGCTTCATATGGATGTTGGAAAAATAGATCAGGATGTTGCACATGTTGCAATGGTTGTACACATATGTTGCAAACGTCTGTCCTCAATGTTTCATATGTTTTTCAGACGTATGTTGCAAGTGTGTTTATCTATATGTTGCATATGTTTCAATGGTTTCTAATTCTTTTTGCAAGTGTTTTTAGATACATGTTTCAAGTGTTTCATCTATTTTTTTATGTTGCAAGTGTTGGCCCCGTTCGCTCGGAGGAATTTGAAGGAATCTGGAGGAATTTGTGGGAGGAAAACACTGTTCCGGATGAAAAAAGAAGTGGATCAAATCGGGTTTAAGGGCACACGAACGGGGCCGTTGCATCTAGATGTTTTAAAAGTAGATCGGGTGTTGCACGTGGGATCTGCGTTGAAAGCGGAAGGGTGCGCGAGCGGTCCCGGTGCAGGCAACATTCGGGCGGCACAGCCCCCGCGTGGGCACGGGTGATGCAGCCGCGATAAAGCGACGTCCGGACAGCGCGGTTCCACGCGTAGACATGCGAAACGGAGGAGGAAACCGAGTGTAGCCACGGGCGTTCGGACGGGGACGTCCATCCGAACGTCCGGCGCTAGTCATGCCCATCGGGTATCGGATCGTGTATCCCTATTACCATCTTTAGGTAGAGGGCTATGGCAGAGGCAGCCGAACCAGGAAGGGAGATGCGGCTGGTATTGAGAACGGATCATCTGGCTCGCTCGTTTTGCTTCCTTCCTCTGGGAAAAAATTCAGTGGATACAGTATCCACCCAAACTGGATGCATACCATCACTGGATGGATGACACGTGTGCCAGCTGTAGATCCTACGTTCGTCTGGTGAAGTGGAGAAGGAGCCGAGCATCAAGTCCACCAACCGTCATGACTCAAACTGAGTGGAGTGGAGCACTTTCCGAAACACACGCACACGTGTCACCACCTGAGTGGTGGTATGCATCCAGTTTGGGTGGATATCAGATCCATTGAATTTTTTTCCTTCCTCGGGCCCGCTGTTTTGCATCGAGATTGGTGAGGCAGGACACGTGGACGATTTAGCGGAGGTGCTGCACGCGAGGCGGCGGGCGTCACGACTCACGAACGCATACAAGTTTTTGTTCTGCCCGTAACATGAATGAGTTCGTTGAACAGCCGCTCTGAGATGCGTGCATTTACAGTTTTTTTTTTTTTGTCTAGAGCGCTAGTACTTCTCTTGACACCGTGGATGATTGTTCTCTTTTTTTTTTCTTCTGCCATGCCAGCCGCTCTTCTGAGTTCTGACCAGACTCGGCGGCAGTTGCACGCGCGCCACGCGCCGTCGGCTGAAGGCTGAAGGGCATCCATTCCGTCGCATTTGCGTCGCTGCCGGCCGGTCCGCACACAGATCCCGTGGCTCGTGTCAACAAGTCCGGCCCCAACTTGTCACCGTGGAAGTGGAATTGGTTTGCATTGGGAG